GGAAGTGGAGGGAGGGGGTCGAAAGTTCTGGTTAGGAGACCGGTAAGCACCGGGGACCGAATGTACAGCCCGGCGACCACAACTCACACGAACACATGATTATATTTAACAGTTAAGAGACGAGATCCTCAGAGTCCTCCTCATGAGGAAAAAAAAAATCTTTTTTTTTTTCTGTTTTTCTTGTATCTGTGTGAGATGATGGAATATTAAGGAGACTTATTGTGGGGAATAATCCACCATAGATGGACGTCAACTCATTATGCTGTTTCCTTTAAATGCATATAGCGTGTATGTCAATGACATCTCGATAGAACTGCGGGGGACAAAGGTGATCTGTAACAGCATTTGCCGGGGGGTTCTCCAGAGAGAACGGGTGTGTGTGTGTGGGGGGGGGTGTGTATCTCAACCTTTAGCGAGAAGCCCTGAATTCCATGATCCAGAGTGAACCAGCAGAGCCACACTGGGACCCTGGAGGTATGTTCAATGCCCCTGTTCCCTTGTCCTCACGACGTCAGCTGCAGTCAAGTTGTAGGGCTAATGCTTGCCTGGGTTCTGGCTCAAAGCCCCAAAGGGGAGGAAATCACTTTGAAGTCATTAGGCTTTCCTTCCACTAGCCAGTGGCTCACTAATAGGTTTCCAGGGCCATGAGCTGACAGGAGCTGTGCTTCAGGTCTTCAGGCCATGGAGACTTTGCATGCTCTCGAGCCCAAGTCTCTGCGGTGTCTGGCGGAAGAGACATTTGTGGTCGCCCGCCCCCATAAAGGCACCTTCAAAGAGAAGCCTGTTTGATCCAGGATCACCAATTAACATCAAGCTCAGAGGCTTTATGGGACACTGCCGAGAAGCGGCCGAGCTATCAGGGGGAATGGCAATATGGGTGAGCAACTTGGTGGTTCACTCACCTCACCCTCGCCCTTGGAAGCCAAGTAGTTCATTTCTTCCACGTCCACAAGTTTTATAAGGTTGCAAGGCATTGGGGCACCAACATGGCCTGCATGGTAAATAAAAGAATGATCATTCCCAGGAGGACTCCTACTATCCTTAAGCCAAATGATGTTTATGGCCAACAGGCCTGCTCATGATGGGAACAGCTGATAAAAACGTCTGTTTGCAGTGATGACAGCCCGGCTCCCCCAGTAAATGAGCACAGAAAGTGTATTTCTACAACAGAGACAAACATTCACAAGTCTCTTAGGATCTTTCCCCAGTTTGATGCCCCAAATTATTTTTTCAAAGTATGAATAATTTGGCTGTCGATTGTAAGGGTTTCTACAAATACCTGGAAGCAAGCTTTCTAAAACTTTTACCAGGCTCCTATGGTCTGACGGCCCCTGCTCATCATTTGCCACCTCTCACTCACACAGACTTCTTCTCAACACCCCTACTTTCTCTAAGAAGAGAAAATACACAACTTTGCCAAATTGGATTATTCTCTCAATGTCATCTCGTTCTGACCAAGATGGTCTTTACTTCCTTAGGTATGAGTGAACACATTTTAGATTTAAATTTATTAAGATAGGATGGTGCGGGGGCGCCTGGGTGGCTCAGTTGGTTAAGCATCTGCCTTCGGCTCAGGTCAAGATCCAGGGATCCTGGGATCGAGCCCTGCATTGGGCTCCCTGCTCCGCGGAGAGCCTGCTTCTCCCTCTCCCTCTGCCTGCCCCACCCCTGCTTGTGATCTCTTTCTCTCTCTCTCTCAAATAAATAAATAAAATCTTAAAAAAAAAAAAAGAGCATCACAAACAATTCCTCCTATGTTTTAATGATGTTTGTGTAAAGAGATCACTGTTCCAAATTCTCTAGGCTGGTAAGGAACCAGGGGTTAAAAATTAAACCAGGAAGAAGGTTCAGAGACTGTTAGTACGAGTCCCAGCAGAATTGTGCTACTAGAGTCTGGACATGAGAATCCATGTTCCTAGACGGTGCTCATATTTATAATATACCAAATAAATTAGTGGCGTTCGCATATCAGAGCCCAGAATGTACCATCGGTCAGAGCTGGGTTGGAATCCTGGCTCTGAAGCATAATGCTGGGTAAATTCTTATACACTGTTTATGTGCTTTTTCACCAACACTCATTTCCTCTCAGAGGTAACAGGACTTAGGCCACGGGGTTAGTGCGGGGATGTGCTTAAGGACAACTGCTCCGTCCATTATTTTCATATCTGCCTCTCCTTGCGCCTTTTGGGAAAAATGACTTGTCTCTTTCTCTCTGTGGTTTCAACACCCGGCCCAGCACCCAGTGTAGACTCAAGTCAAATTTACCAGCAAATAATTCGACCCCAATCCATTCCCGGAAAGCTCTGTGGGGCCAAACATTCTGAACCTGGGGGAAAGGGCTTTCATCCCTCAGCTGTCAGCTTCAGATTCTAGGTGAATCTCTTAACACCACCCGCCTTCCAGCTGGTCCTCCAAGCACAGGTGCTCTGCCATAGCAGCCCTTTTCCACGAGGATCCCTGATTTACAAGACTGCCCCAAGGCCTAATCACTCAAGACACAGAACTTCCATTGGTCAACGAACTGAGGATGAACCCAATTCCAAGAATGCCCACCGGAATAACGAGATCCCATAAGGAGTGTCCCACAGCTCCTACCTGCTGTCCAGTCCCCAGGTACAGTCAGGCAGCAACCGGCAGTGCACTCGGTCTGTCCGTAGCCTTCATAAAACTGGGCCACCAAGAGACAAAACGTTATTAAAGAGAACAGTCACACCTGTGCTGCAAGGGCACAAATCAGGACGTTCTTCTCACTCCTGAGTGATGGCTAACTGTGGTGACGTGTCTCTTTTTAAAATCTGTTCAGAACTACTACGATAGCACCCAAACATCTTCACCCCCAACCTGAAACCCCGGCTGCTGTCCACAGTCATCTTCTACTCGCCCTCCTATAGACAGGCCAGGGGGCCACCGACACGGCCTGACAGGTCACACTGCACGCGACCCACCCAGGAACGCACTCGGTGCTCTGTCCGCTCACGGCTGTGCCTCACACCGGTCTTATTGGTTGCCCAGTCTCAGCTGCCTCCCCCACCCCCTTTAAGGCGGGTTCTCTCCAGGGTTTGCAGGTCGGCTTATTACCTGCAACCCATCCCCATGCCCTCAGGCCGGATTAAAGGCAAGTTTCCTGGCTGGTGCTTTACCCGTCTGTGGTGGCCAGAGACGCATCATCTCCTGCCTTGGGGAAAAGACAGACACACTCCTGTCTCTAAGCAACCTGGGAATAACGTGATCTTCCAAACCAAAATGAGATACACACTTATGACTTTTTGGAAAGGAGAGTCCTGGGCTTGAAAAAGCCCAAACAACCAGCCACATGACGCCCACCTCACCTGACAGCCGAGCGCTGCTCTCAGAAACGTCAGCACGGTGGCGGACACGGGCGCAGCTCCTGTGATCATCAGCCTGACTTTTCCTCCCAGGCTCGACTTACAAGGCAAGGAGAGGGGAAATAGTGAGGGGCCGATGGCTCCACAGGGGCGGGCTCCTCAAAGACACCTTCTGGGAACCCGGGGCCCGGATCCACTAGCTCCTTCTCTGCAGGCTGCACGGAGCTCACCAACACGCAGAGAACTCACGGGCATTCAAAAGAGGAAGGCCTGGCTGGAGCTGGTTTCCTCCTGATGCTACACCCTTCTCTCTCAACGGGTATGAAAAACAAGCCAATACCTCTACCTGCAGGTATTTTGAAGGAATTGAAACAAGACTGTGGTGGGTTGGGAGGCAACCACCACGTGTGGCATTTTTGGGGACATAGTATTATTATTCCACATTCTTTATCACTGGTGCCTAAGAAATGAGTAACATACTTGTTTCAGAAAAGGAAAGCAAAATAAAAAATTAGAAAGGCCCAGGGTGCCTGGGTGGCTCAGTCAGTGAAGCGTCTGACTCTTGATTTCGGCTCAGGTCATGATCTTGGGGTCATGAGATGGAGCCCCACGTCGGGCTCTGTGCTCAGTGCAGAGTCTGCTTGAGATTCTCTCTCCCCACCTCCCGTGCTCCTTCTCTTTCTCTCAAATAAATAAATCTTAAAAAAAAAATTAGACTGATGAATCACTGAACTACTACATCTGAAACTAATGAGGTACTCTATGTTGGCTAATTGAATTTAAATTAAAAAAAAATAAAAAATAAAAAATAAATTAGAGGCTCTACTACCCTGAGGTCTTTTCTGCCTTTCCATGTTACCATGTTGTTCGGGTTTGCTTGGGATACTGAGATTTACGTACCGCCTTTGTCCTTAATTTTTAGAAATGTACCCGGATTACTAACAACGTGCCCTCCTCCCTCACCATCACACCTCGCTTTTAGAAGGAGCCCTCATAGACACTCCGAAGCCCAACGTAGTCTCCCTAGCAAACAAGAGTTGAGAATGTGGCACCTGTATCTTGTGGAAGATGAGTCTGTCCCACAGGCTATTGTTTCTAACGATGCCACTGCGAAGCTCTGCTTCTTTCCTCTTGGAGGCGAAGTCCAACAGCCATCGCTTCAGCGTGGTGTTTGCCTGCCCAAAAATCTGACGGGTGAAGAAGGAAAAGACAGTTACAAAATGACAAGGATGGTGAGAATCGAAAAGTCAGATAATAACAAGAGTTGGTGAAGATGTGGAGAAACTGGAGCCCTCGTCCGCTGCTGGGGGCAGGGAATGTAATAGGGCCCGGTTGCTTTGGAAAGCAGACTGGTAGTTCCTCAAATAGTGAAACACGGAAGTACCACGGGACCCAGCAATTCTGCTCCTTGGTAAAGTACCCAAGAGAAATGAAAACACGGGTCCACACAGACACTCGTATAGAATGCTCGTAGCATCATTATGCATGACAGCCAAGAAGTGACAACAACCCACAGGCCTACTGATGCATGAAGGGATAAATAAAATATGTTCTAGCCATACATCAAATATCACTTGGCCATTAAAAGGGAGGAAGTACTGTCACGTGCTCCCACATGGATGAACCTCGTGAAAGAGGCCAGTCACAAAAGAACACATGTTGAGTGATTCCATTTACATGACAGTCCGGAAGAGGGAAATCTACAGATTCAAAAAGTAGATTCGTTTTGCTTGGCAGTCGGAGGGGGTAGAGGACACCTACTGGGCAGATCCAGGGTTTCTTTCTGAGGTGATAAAAATAGGCTGTGGTGATGGTTGCAGAACTCTGTGAATATACCAAAAACCTTTGAATTTTACACTTTAAACGGGTGAATTATATGGAATGTGAATTATATATCTCAATCAAGCTGTTTTTAAAAGTTTTTTTTAAAGGACCATTAAAAAAGAGAGAGAGAGAGGTTCTCATAGATCACAGAAGCCCTGCCTTACAATAAAGAGCATGAAAACTGCCCCGTCCAAATTTATCTTGAAGGCTGCTCATGTCACACCCTGGTCTTGCCCGGGATGTGTGGTCCATGCCACAATGACCCCCCACAGAGGGGCTGGCATTCTCTCCATCCCTGGCTTGGCTTGTCACTTCTTTCCATGTGGCTAAGTAATGTTACATGTGCATGGGCATTACAATTTCTAGAACCATTTCATAGTTATAGTTATCATGGGATGCACTGAGCAACTTTATGAGCCAGACAGCAGGAGGAGGGGGTAACACAGTCCATCATGCAGATGAGAAAACAGAGGCTCTAAAGAGTTTATGGTACAAATAATATGACCTTCCATCTTCCACCTGTATGGGCCTTCCTGTTTACAAAGTATGTTCACCTGTTTTCTCTTATCATCTTCACCAAAGGCTCTGTGAGGTAAATGCATTCAGGCTTTACCGCTGGGTAAACCGCACTTTTTAGAGATCGCGTACAGAAGGTACCCGGAGGGCCCAATTCAAACCCAAGTCTCGGACTCTGGATCCAGTGCTCTGTCCCCCACTCTGCTGCTCCTTGGAACTTACTCGGTCAAACATCCGGTTCAGCAGTCTGGGGACCACAGGAAAGACTGTGGGTTGAAGTGTCTTGAGGTCATCCATAAGCAGCCTGATATCTCCTTGGAAAAATCCTATTTTAGCTCCATGACACAGCATTACACACTAGGGCAGTAAACAAAAATAACCCACATGTCGTCATCAAAGCAGGGACTATGCAACATACACACAAACACACGAGGCTTCTGTTTTAGCATTTGGACCAGTTTCCAGAGACCATTAAGTTCCTGCATGTCGACAGCTTTTCAAAAAATGCTCTCGCATTCCCTGGTCATTGCACAACATCCAAGTGTGGTTTTTCTCTCTTGATCCCCCTGAAGATAAAGGAGCTGGTAAGAAACCAGACTATGTTGTTTTTAGTGATAATCATGGAGCTTCTGCTGTTTTAGCTTGAGGATAAATAGCTGGTGAATGAATGACACGGTGTCATGTAATCCAAATATTGTACTTGCCTGGAAACTTTAGGCCTAATTTATTCCCCAAAAACTAAGCTACCTGCAAACTTGGCTATTTGCCAGCTTATTAAAGTCTCATTTTTAAAATCTGAATCTCACGAAAAAATGTCTGAAAGGCCACTGACTCTGTTGCAGTTCAGACACTGGGGCATCAAACAGCAGATTGGCTTGACGTTCAGCTATAATCTACTGCACGGATTTGTTCCCGCCCGATGCAGATCGCACCGGCAAGCCATATGCACTTGACCCACAGTCAGCCTATTTTAAATTTTAAAGAGAAAGAGAGATTCAAAAGATGATGCCACGGAAGTACAAATGGTCTCAGGCTTGAAAGCAGAAACCACTGGAAACGTACACCCTGGTTCATGGCTTAAAGACTCAAGCTCAGGGAGTGTGCTCCCAGGCACACTTCCAAAACCACCATTAGGTGTATATGGGCCATTATCAACTCATTTGAGATCGCTTTGGAAAGTCATAAGATCTCCTGAGGTGTGCAGGAGCCAAGGTAACAGATGCAAGATGGGATCTCGTGACCCTTGATCCTTTAGGGTAAGTGCATCCTACGGGCCAGCAGCCAATCAAAGGGCCGCTCGCTCTCAGTTAGTCACCTCTCGATTCGTCTCGGTCACTGACACCTCGCACAGTGCCTGGCACACAACTGGTGCTCAATAAATATTTGTTAAATGAATGAATGGTGCCCACTGGTTTTTCCTAGAAGTATATGATCCAACATTGTCCAAGAAGGAGAAGTGATGGTTCTCATCACAGTTGTATACACTTGACCCAGGCCAAGGTTAGCTAAAGATCATCCTGCTTTTCCAAGGGCACTTGGAATATTGGTGAAAAAAATGAATCTTAAGCCTACTTGTGCATTACGAACAAGCCCAGTGAAAACCGGAAGCTATTTACAGAGGCAGAAGCTTCACGAGGCTTTGCAGGATGGCGTTCATAAAAATTCTACTTTTTACAGTTAATCTTTCTGGAATCACGCCCAGGTGCATAGCCTTCAGAAGTCTGAGCGTCTAATTTTAAAATGAATGATTAAAGTTCAAGTATTCGGACCACCCCCACTTCCACTCCCAACATTTATACTCTTTTAAGTAATTAGCACCATTTCTAAAATGGGGCTGAGCAAAGAATTCTCTCTGGGGATGACAGTCTGCCCATGAAAACTTACCTGCAGCAGCTGCTCATACATGTGTGCAAGTGGTAAAAACGAAATGTGTGTGTCACTGGCATTCAAGGCAAGAACTGTCTGTAAAACACAACAACTTAGCAGAACACCAACAAACGAGCAAGCACAAAAAAAACAAAACAAGGCCTACCTCTACAACTCTTTCAAACATATGGGCAAGAGGCAAGAAAGATATCAAAGTATCATCTGGGGAAGGGTTGGCTGTATTCTGTAAGCAAAGACACCGGCAAGGAGAGAAGCATTAAGATTCCCAGTAATTTCCCATTTTATTTCAGAGCACATAATACCTTAATGCTAAGGAGAAGTACCGTTTGCTTACAATCTGCTGTTATTTCTCACCAAAGGATGAAATGGAAAAGCAACACTTTAATGCTTTAATTACTCAATCAGAGTGGAGGTCATTCCTCATGGTAACGTAAACCCACTCCGGGCTTTAGTCCAAAGAGGGAAAATTTTGTCCAAATTGGGATATTAAATAAGGGATCATGTGCTTTAATCATTTAGTATTTCAAAGTCACCAGACCCCACGTCCAGCAAGCTCAATTCCACCTTACGTAAGAAATAAAGGGTCCATTCCAACAGATCATAGCATATTAGGTTGTGGAAATGAAAGATCTAGTCCAACATAAAATAGCATTTTATGTTGTAAAGGGATAGGAAGAGGGAAGATAAGAGAAACTGATTTCCAGGCTGCTTTAATTTATAGTATGAATGCATTTTGAGCATTTTAGTTTGAGCAACATCTTTACCTGAATGGCCTGCTTTACACCCCATGAAAAAATGTCTCGGTTTGTTTAGTGCAAGCTCTGATCTGATACCATCTCCTATAAAATGCTGATTTGTGATAGAGGTCTGCATCAGGGCTGAGCTGGACATCTGGTTTCCATTGCAAGGCTAAGAATGGGCTTTACTCAGAGCCAGGCATAGTGAGGGTTTGCGCGGAATGTTCACGTAAGGAATTCTGGCCAAGCAAACCCAGCAACCCCAGAAGCACGTGATGTAGCCTGAACCTGCCACAATCTTAGATTAATTGTATTCAAGTGTGATCTGCATCCCGACTAGTTCATCTCAGGATGAAACGGCTTATATGAGAAGTCAGACTCAGTAATTTCTACACTTTTCAGTTTTCTGATTTGGTACCCCAAAAAATGTGCACTAGCAAGATTAGAAGTTTTACAAAGTTGAGAATGCCCCGATCATATCATTAATTTTAAACAAAGTCTGTAATCATTTGCCTCAGTGAGCCACGAGTGTATTCTAAGTTTTCTTCAGAGGCTAATTAGGAAATTAAAATTCCACTTAGGTGAGGTACTAAATGTTGAATTCTGTTTATGAAATATACGCCAAAAAAGGTATCTGGGACTAAGAAAGTGTGAGTGTAGGCGGGAGTGACACGGGCCTTCTGTAGCCACCAAAGACACACATTCCCCAAAACTGTTAAGCGTGGGGGCTCCTGTCGTGAAAATCAGGGCTCACAGAAGAACCCTCCCAGAGACTGCAAAAGCAAATTATATAAAGTGTGCAAAGGTATGAGGGAAAGGCATTATATTGCCCAAGAAGTACTTTTAAAACTCAAGTTTGAAATATACCCTTGCTGCTATGACCGAATTGTATCCCCCTCCTCCCCAAATTCATGTTAAAGCCCTAACCCCCAGTGTGACTGGATTTGGGGACAGAGCCCTGGGGGAGGTAAATCAGGTGAAATGAGGTCATGGGGTGGGGGACCTGACCCAGTAGGGCAGGTGTCCTTGTACGCACAGGAAGACCTCTCCCTCATTCTCCATGCACACACAGAGGAAAGGGCAGGTGAGGACACAGTGAGGGGGTGGCCACCCACAGGCCAGGAAGAGAGCCCTCACCAGCGACCGAATTTGCTGATACTTTGATCAGGGACTTCCAACCTCTCGCACTGTGAGAAAATAAGTATCTGCCGTTTAAGCCACTACACCTGTGTGATTTTGTTATGGCCACCCAGAGGACTAGGACACTTGGGGGGACGAACCTTACGATTATAGGAAACCAATGAAAGTTTAAGGCTTTAATCTTTCTTATAAAATGGAAGTGAAGTCAACTGTGATAAAGTACAATAATTCAGAAACCTTCCGTGTACCATTTAACATTTCATGTGTCCACTTAAAGAAATTATTTTCCCCACTGTCCGGGAAACATTTATAGGGCAGTAACCACACAAAGTTGTATCCTACAAAAGTTATAATAACTTCTGTCAATTCAGCTTTATGGTCACACGCAGGAGTTGGGAGATTAGGTCCACAATGAAAACAATTTGAGGGCAGGTGACCTTAGATCATATTAAAGCTCAGATCTTATCTCTACCTCAAATACAGCAGGGGCCTAACATGGCGGGGCTACCTTCACCACTCTCATTTTTGAGGCCTCATGTCAACCAAAGAACACAAAGAAAGATGACAAAATCCCCAAAGTTTACCTCTGTGACTTTCACAAAAGCTGAACAATCGCTCACTACATTTCGATGAGTGATCAGTGCTCCTTTGGGGTTGCCTGAGGAACACACAGGAGCAGAACAAAGTTAAAGAAAGTCCATCCAAAAGTGACAGAAATTAAGGAAGCCAAGAACCCTGTATAATTGGGTTATGCCTCTAGCCTTAGGTGCACCCAGGAAAGCCAAACATTGAATGACCTTACATTCCGGAACAATCTGCCATACTTTACATGAAACTTCTTATCATGAACAACCTTTATTAACATAGGTGACTTTTAGAGGGCACGTAAGAGGAGAAAACGCAGGAATTTTATTTCTGGACATCAAATGGTGGTTTGTGCCAGGAAATGGGGAATCTACTGTTGCCTTCCATAACCGTCCGAGGAAGTACACGGCATGCTCAGGTTCTGAGAAGGTCGGATACGGCAACAAGGAAAGAGCGCTCGAGCCCCTCCGGGTCCTCTGCTTTTGGTCCATCTGTAGCTCAACTAAGTCCCCCGTCACCCACCATCCAAGAAAGGGGGCAGGGGGTACACACTTCCAGATCCACTCAGAAGCGACCACATTTCAAACTTACCTGTAGTGCCACTGGTGAAACAAATGACCGCAAGATCTTCAGGTGCTGGAGGCTACAGCACATTAAACAAAACAAAACAAAACAAAACAAAACAAAACAAAACAAAACACAACCGAGGTGGTATAAGTCAGAACCGAAAAGAAAACTGTAAGAAGCCATGTGCTAACCCCCAAGATCTGTACTAGTCTCGGAGACAACTAGATATTGGAAGGGCTGAAGCAGGGGGCTGACATGATGAACTTACCTTAGGCCTCTGTCTGTTGGCTCTTCCCAGGTCCTTAACGAGAAGAGAAAAAAAAAAATCTTAAATGGAAATATTTTCTAAATGTAAAGAAGAAGGTGACATCCAGTCACTTCAAACTGACTTTACTGTGGGATTCACTTATCGCTGGCTCAGACAGCAGACATTTAAAATGAAAGAAACTGGCAATTTTAATAAACCTGAAGTGAAATATTTACGCATTGTTCTCAGACGCCATTTTCGAGTTGTCTTCTCTCGTACATAAAACCATATAAATGGTATAAGGACTAGTCTTTGAACAGGATTTACTCAAAAGACAGGAATCAGAGTCTTTGACGGTGGATTTCTTGCCCCCATTCCTACACCCTTTCATGGCCTTTAGCAAAGCCCGGCTCTTAACCAACATCAAACCATAATCATAACACAAGAACTGAAGATGTTCTGCATCCTCCCCAAATCACCCAATTCTGGGTAACTGGCATCTTCTTCAGTCTGGAGAGAAAAACCAATCTCTGACAGATGAAATGCTAGAGGCTCAAATATCTGTACTCCCCACATGGAGTGGATAAAAAAAAAAGATTTGGGAACCCTCAATTATAAAACAGTCCTCTTGAATGGACATAAAGAACAGCAGGTTCATTTCTGAGGGGCGCATCTCTCAGCAGCTGGCTCCCCGTCACTACCAGGGGGTCATTTCGATGCTGTTCAGTTCACTGCACAGAGGCATCTCTGTGGCCACTTTAATTAGCTATTAATTTTGCTAATGAACCATTTATATTCTTTTCCTATTAAAACTGAATGGCTTGAATGAGCATATGGCGTGAGCATGCCTAGAATTAAATGGAAATCTGATGAATGTGCTCAGGGCTCAGGGAGTTTCTGCCCGGTGTATGGTTTTAAACTGTTTTTAATCTTAATTACATTTTAAATTATATCTATAAACAGACCACTGATTCAAAATAGGAACAGTGAAGTCCAAATAGAAGTCAACCAAGAGCTGAAGCAATGGTAATTCCATTTTTTTTCCAAAAGAATCTTCATCAGACCCAAATCTCCACTCATCTGTTCAAAATTCTTACATAACTTCAATAGTTACATGTGATTTGGCTTTTAATTTATCAGGATCAAACATTATCCAAATGAGTGCCCTATTAGCCAGGAAAGTCCACAGCCTCAAACCTAAGGACAGTATGTGGAAGAGAGGACAGCGACCATAAAAATAAACGAGTTCCCATCTTCAGGCTCCAAATGCCAAAAACAAAACACCTTAACCAGAAGAAAAACCAAATTCTAGTTAATGATTAGCATGCTAAAGTATTTAGGGGTGACAAAAACTAGAAGTTAATGAAAACGCATTAAAATAATAGATTCATGAATGAATGGAGGGACGGAGTGATGCACGAGTACATGATGAAGCAAATATATTAAAATGCTAGCTGTCGGGTGCTTGGGGGTTGTACGGCAGTCTACTGTTCAATTCTCCCAACTTGCTTGCCTGTTTGAAAATTTTCATAATAAAATACCAAAAAAAGCAAAAATTCCAAATACCAATATTTCTCTTTTTGATCCTATAAAACTATCTATTACTATAAACTTGATCATATGACCAACCATAAAGCCAATTTTAAACCCACATCTTGAAAATTAACCTTTTGCTTACAAAATTTTTAAAAACCAAGTATGAATCATAGTACACGGGCAAGGGTAGAACAGTGTCTTTTATAAAATAGAGCTTTTAATATAAACTTCATATTACAATCTTAACTTACCTAAATTTTTTCATCTTAAAATTACTTCATCGTAGAGCCGTCGAAAAATACCAAAAAACTCCTGTGTGTATGCGTGCGTGTGCATGTTTGTGTGGTGGGGTTAGGGAGAAGGAGGAAAGATGGGAGGAAATGATGACATTATCGTGAGTGGCGATCACAAGTAAAAAAACAAACGTGCAGAAACACTAGGTAGAAAGCTAGCTAAAAGCCTAAAGAGCCTAAAGCTAGCTAAAAGAGCTAAAAGCTCTTCCCAGGGAAGAGCAGGGTGAGCACCCTGGCTGGAATGGGTGTTCCAGTAGACAAGGCTAAGTTCCTCCGTAAAGGTATTACATAGATCCTAGTTTGTAGCCTCCAATTCCTGGTAGAAGGAGAACTATAAATAAAATTTGAAACCCTGTTTATAACAGTTCCAGGAAAATGTTTATAACATTTTCGGAAGGAGAACAACTTACCGTATTTAGCCTATTCCAGTGATATGTACCTGACAAGATCCAGCTCTTACCAGCTTCTTGGGATTAAACTCTAATCCAAATCCTACTGGGAGAATCAGCTTCTTACACGATGTGATGTCAAACAACCAATTTAAACATAGGTCCCACTCATTTTCCTAGAATGGTTACCTTTAAAGTTTTGATTAATGTGAATCTTAAGAAATTTAATATAAAAATAAGCCAAATCCAACATCTATGCTAGAAATTCACAACTTGGGAAAAAGAATAATGAGGCAGATTTCTGTAGCTGGCTCTGTTTTAGAAACAAATCAGTAAGTAAATGGCATGAAAACCTATAAGAACATACAAACTTAAATCTCTGCTTGAATTGGAAATGCACTTTTCTACCATATATTGGCGTGGCTTGTCAGTACTCTAGAATAAATATGTGAGCACTGCAACTTGTTTTATGAGAATACTTTCTATGTGATGAATTCACAGTGGGGCATGTGTGTAGAATTCTTCTTTACAGTAAGGAGACAGGAATTTCCACTCTGCGTCTGTTATGGGTTGCTGAGCTGGGACTGTGTGATTGCAATGGATACCACATTTGAGCCAAAATGGCCTCAGGGGCACCTATCAGAGAAGTGGGCAGGATGACTCACCTCCATTGCCTTCATACTGATGATTTCCACGCCACACCTTTTGCCTCGTTCCAACAGATCGATGCCATAGGAGTCCATGAGGACAATAGTTTTAAGGCCTGGTGTTAACTTATTTTCTACACCATCTAATAAAAGGTTGGCCTTCTCTGGCTTGTCAACAAAAACCAGAGAGAGTTCAGCTAGGAAGGAAGAGATACAATGAAGAATGAGCTTTGAGATATTAAAAGCCTGACTGTATCATATCTGACACCAGGTTATTTTAAGGACTATAGTCTTTGAATAGAAAGATAGATGTGTTTAAACATAAAATCCCGGGGGCACCTGGGTGGCTCAGTCAGTGAAGGTCATGATCCAGGGGTCTGGGGATTGAGCCCCATGTTGGGCTCCCTGCTCAGGGGAGAGTCTGCTTCTCCCTCTCCCTCCACCCCTCCCCCAGTTCTTATACTCTCTCTCTCTCTTCCTCTCTCTCTCTCAAATGAATAAATAAAATCTTTAAAAAAATAAACATAAAGTGCCTATCAAATCAAATATAACCAAATGTATAGTGACCAAATCTAGCTGGTAACTAGGCCAGGTCTGCCTTCAGCTCAGGTCATGATCCAGGGGTCTGGGGATTGAGCCCCATGTTGGGCTCCCTGCTCAGGGGAGAGTCTGCTTCTCCCTCTCCCTCCACCCCTCCCCCAGTTCTTATACTCTCTCTCTCTCTTCCTCTCTCTCTCTCAAATGAATAAATAAAATCTTTAAAAAAATAAACATAAAGTGCCTATCAAATCAAATATAACCAAATGTATAGTGACCAAATCTAGCTGGTAACTAGGCCAACGTCCACCCAGAGACCACAGACATACCTTTGTTGACTATGTAGGTGATTGCTTCTGTTCCAAGGGTATCATAGAGGGGAACGATCACCATAGAGTAAGCAAAGCATCCCTGTTCAATGATCACCCACTAAATGAACAGTAAAGGTCGGGGAGAGAAAACAAGACGTCATCATGGAACCACTCCAAGGAGAACGACACTCTAGAGAGATTCAAAGTGGAAACACGAGACGTGGCAAAATTCACATTTGTGTGTCTACCACTATGTGCCAGGCACCATGAGAGACTCATCATGAGAACAAAACACCTGCCCCCTTCTTAGAAGGAAAGAGCAATTTGCCGGAAGAACTGAGGCAAATATGTGAAAAGCTAATTAACAATACAAGAGAGTGACCGACTTGGACACGAGGGAGCCCACGGTGGGCCACCTTTGCGGAGAAGGTAACTGAGCTCACCCTTTGCCAAGGCAGCACGGTTTGGACAGAGAGAAAGGCAAGGAGACCTCAGTAGTGGGGACTGCATGATGGAGAGCAGGGAAGAGCAGGGTGAGCACCCTGGCCGGAATGGGTGTTCCAGCAGACAAGGCTATGGTGAGCAGGAGCAAGGCTGCGGCTAGGGAGGGGCCTGGCTCCATTCCCCGGGGGATGCACAGCTGCGGAGGGCTTCTCAGCACAACAGAGGCTCTGGGGTCCGAGGAAGATCAACCTGGCAGCTGTGTGCAGTAGGACCTGGGAACTGGGGAAGGAGGGACACACACTTGTGTAACAGGAAAAATGTTCTGGCAAAATCTTCCCAGAAAAGTGATGAAGGGAAAGATGTGATACAGTAACTGGTCCCCTTGCCTCTAAACTCATCAGCCATGTGGCAACTACTCAGTCTACACAGCAAACATGGTGAAATCAGCCTTTCACTTAAAATGCTTGGCGGCACCGTTACCTCCAGCTGCAGTTCTGGGATCCCCTGCAGAATGCCAACGCACGGCACAGATAAAGATGTAGCTGCTGTGGGAAGGGTGCATGACACACTCATATTCACTTGGCCCAGAACTATTTTTCCCCCTTTGCTTTCCTGGCACCAATGTGAAGCTGCGAACATGGAGGTCAGGTCCAAGCTCCTCAGCAGGGTCATGTGGTACATGCAGTCCTGTCTCTCCTGCACCTCCAAGCTCTACCATAAGAAAATGCCTCCTTCCCCAACACAGACATGCTGCTTGATGCAAACATGTGGTTGTTCCTGACATTCCCTTGGCTCCCCCACCCTCATATCCTTCAACACGCCCCTGGAAGGCCACCTCCAGGAAGTCCTCCTTGACTGAGCTCCCATAATCCTTTTTCCCGGTGTCCACACTTGCCACACTACAGAGAAAGCATCAGCTTATGGGCCGGTGTTCCCTCACACGGTACCTTACGAGGAGGATCCGAGTCACTGTGGTGCTTTGGAGCCTCACAGTGCCTGGCATATAGCAGGTGCTCAATAAACATTTATTAAACTAGCTGATAAATACAGGAAGGAGCTTACTCTGTGAAGTAAGGAATACCTGTCCTCGTGATAGATTCATTATAAAATTCCACTCATGCAAAAATCTGGGTTGTGTTCCCTTGAATGAGTTTTACTTGCGATGAAAGAAACTAAATTTCATGAGCCTGGTCGTCCAGCTGTGGGAAAATGCTCTTTTTCCCTTGCCAATACATAAAACTGTAGGAAACCATCCTCCTTTATAAAACAGTCAGTAGCACAGGGATGGAGCCCACACGTCTTTTGGACACAAGAATCAATTCAATTCCTTCAAGCTTAGGTGCTTGAATTTTTCCCAGCCAAGTTATGCCACTAATTTGTTCAGGAGCGCTATAAGCAACAGCTCCAAAAGGGCTTCTCACATAAACTGACCTTTAATGCAAGGATCTGCAGTACAGTGCAGCGGACTTGACAGCCAGATAGACTGCACACCCACATTAAGGCTGACTCACGGTCAAGGCACTTTCCCCGCTGCTCAGGGTATTTTAAATTTTGTAACCTGATCAGAGGGCAAGCTCCTACCTTTCAGAGAGCCAAGAGGAGAGTCTGCAACCGACAAAAATGTGTCCAAGTTTCTCTACAATTTATGGATGCTATTTTTCTAATCACAGACAGAAGCCTTAAGGTAAGAAGATTCTTTGTGAGTTATTTGTTCTAGTAACCTCTTTGTTAGTTTTTGTTTGGGACCTGGTTTTAAAAAAACAAAACCAATAATCCAAAAAGTGATTCCCCCTACCCACTGCAACATAAAGGCCAAGGAGGCCTTGGCTTGGGTTTTCATATGTGGCACTTTTTAAAAAATTTTATTTATTTTTATTTAAATTCAATTAACATACAATGTATTATTGGTTTCAGAGGTAGAGGTCAGTGTTCATCAGTCTTATATAGCACCCAGTGCTCATTACATCACGTGCCCCCCTTAATGTCTGTCACCCAGTTACCCCATCCCTCCACCGCCCCTCCAGCAACCCTCAGTTTGTTTCCTATGGTTAAGAGTCTCTTATGGTTTGTCTCCTTCTCTCATTTCATCTTGTTTTATTTTTTCCTCTCTTCCCCTATAATCCTCTGTTTTGTTTCTTAAATTCCACCTATCAGCGAGATCATAAGATAACTGTGTCACTTTCTAAGGAATAACACAGAGACATATATTCTCAGTAGAGATCAGAGCACAAAATTAGGTCCCAGGCAAAGGTAGGTGTGACCTCCCAACTGGCTCTTCCATCTGAGAACTCTCAACACCACACACAATTGTTGTCTCATGGTCAATACCTCAGGTCTGTTCTGAGCGAAGATGCCAATGAACTGATCCGGGGCAGCCTTGAAGCCCTTCTGGATGAGCGCTGAGCCCACACACTCGGATATCTCTGCAACCTAGAACGGGGAGGACAAACGTCAGGAACTGCGTCAGGCCCAACGCAAGGAACAAAGCTCACCGGGTGACAGCCAAGCCTGACATCTTGGCCAGCAAGCAGCCCCACACCGCGGGGGAGAGCGGGAGCAAACAGGCACTCCTTTTGCTCTACATTTGTGTAAAACGCAAGGCCTGTTTCACCGGAATGCACTATTAAGGGAACTGATCACAGGGTTCCTCCTGTGAAGCGGACGAATCAGATCCCGACAGCTGCAGGTCACAGAACAGTGGATGCCAGGCCTTCTTACACATTTATATTTTATACTTTAGTTTTATAAAATTATAAAAGTAATACAAGGACACAAAATTATAATTATTATTATTACTGTGACTATTGGTAGTTATAAAGAGCAGCAAAGCAGCCAAAACTTGTCATTTGCTATAAATACAGAAAGAGCAAATTTGGGGGACACCTTCAAAAAACGTGTAACAATTTTAAGTAAAATAAATAAGAAAATAAATGCTCTTATTGAAAGTAAAAATAGGCAGATTCATAAAAATTGGGTAGGACTATAAACCTGGCTCTGTCCTCTCCCCATTCCCATCATTTTTTTTTAATCTTCAAATTTGGAATAATTTTCTTGATTCTCAGTTGCTGGCTTCTCAAGAACACTTTGAAATTGCACCCACGCCTGTAGGGAATAAAGCCACACCTATTCTGGCCCAGAACTCTATTTGTCCTGGCATATAGCGCCACTGCACTCTGCCTATGGGAAGGAGAGCTGACACAGGTGAGGTGACAGCAAGAATGATAGGAATATGCTTACTGTTTTTCTACCCACAGCCTGTTTCACAACCTCTGCTTGCACGTCGGGGATGGGAACCCATGAAATGCTGCCGTGGTTTGCAGAGCATATGGGGATAATCTGCAGGCATTTCTAGCTCTAGAAAGAGGCTCCATACCTTTCTTGAGAAAACCTCAAAGGGGCTCCTAGCCCCACAAAGGTCAGAGTCGCTAGGCTAACGAAAACACTTGAATGTACAAATCCAGAGTTGGCTTCCATGGGTCTAGTTTTATTTATTTATTTTTAAAGACTTTATTTATTTATTTGATAGAGAGCACAGCAGGGGGGGCGGGTAGAGGGAGAGGGAGAAGCGGCTTCCTGCGGAGCAGGGAGCCCGATGCGGGGCTCTGTCTCAGCACCCCGGGATCATGACCTGAGCCGAAGGCAGACCCTTAGCCGACAGCCACCCAGGCGCCTCCCCCCGTGGGTCTAGGTTTAGATCGTCTAGTTTTAGATAGCCTCTGGCTGAAATGTACAAAAACACAGATTAACGCCTTCAGAAAACGCAGTGATTTTCAATCCACCTCAAAAAATCCAATTTGCCATGGACTTGCCTTCTCTGCCTTCCCGCCAGCATACAACAGAAGGAACCAGACAGCACTTGGGGATTCTGTGAGGCCTGAAGCCCCACCATGCAACATTATGTGTCCAACACACATCAACTGTTTATACACCATGTATGAAAATGAGGAGGCTCTGCAGCAACTTTATTTTGGCTCTGGTAATGCAAAATAAAAGCAGTGGATTCCCTTTGGCCTCTGGGGCTACACAGCTCATCGCTCCTTCCACAAGAAAGGTACACCGAGCTGTTTTGCCTCTTTGCTCTCTGTCAAGAGCTACGCAAGCAAAGCCTTTGCATTTCATTCCTCCTCAGAGGAGTGCAGGGGAAGAAAGTGTGGTGTGTGTCTCAGTCTAGGGAGGGCCTCAGGAGTTCCTCGTGGCTCCTTGGGGCTCCTCGTGACCATCCCCTGTCACGTACACTCCAGGGCGTGCCAACTGCTAGAAGCACCCTTCACACCAAACAGGGAAGGAGGAAGCTCATTTGTATTCACGAATGCCACAGGACGACCTGCCCTAGAGCACAGAGCTGTTTCCTGGACAGCTGTGCTGGAAACAAAAGGCAGCAGAGCGGACACTTCCAGTGGCTCCCATACACCCCTGGGGTCCTACGTCCATGGAGGGGGAGGAGCAGGAGCTTCGAGATATCCTGTTATCACGATAAAAATAAAAAGCAGTGTCTTCCTGCTCTGCTCCCTGCTGTCAGAAACTATTTAAACAGCTGCAGCTGTGGATCAGCTGGGCTTGCAGAGGGACAAGAATAAATCCACCCAGATCCCAGCTTCCTTTGTGCTTGTACGGTACTGCAGGTGTCGCCCCTGAACCTCTGTACCTCTCGCTATGGCTGCCCTGGGGTTCACTGTCACACCAGCCCCAAGCTGGTCAGGTTCATATGATGCACTGAAGAGCCCTAGACCAGAAGATGTGGAGCTCACTTCCAGTCCTGTTTCTGCCCACTGACCAGCTGTGACCTTAGGCGAGTCCCATCCTTTCCTAGGGAACGTTTTCTCATCTATAAAATGAGAGAGTTGCTCTATACTGGGGCTTCTAAATATCTCTAGTACCCCGCAAGGCAGAGAATTTCTATCCCCCCATGGGCTCTGGGAGAGAGTCACCTGCTTCAAGCACATTTCTAGAATGTTATCATAGAATTATATTCTACCCCACAACACATCCACTTAAGTTCTACAAGAAAGTGCTTTTGACCCACCAATTAAGTTACTTAACCAGTTTTTCCCAAATCTTTGTGTAAAACTTCTCCCTTTGGATGATACATGTTTACCCCAGAGCTCTGAGCTAGTCCAGCGCACAGATTCTATAGCAAGTTTACAGCCCTCACAGTCAGTGGCTCCAAGAATGGATGGATTTCAGCCCCACGGCATGCATAAGGACCCAGAGAACCAGAAAACTCACCTGTTTGTACGAAAGCCATTCGTAGGGTTGGTCTGGCTTCCGAGAGCCTAAACAGGGGCCGTTATCTAAAAAAAGGAAAAAAAAGGAAAAAACAAAAAAAAATGGATTTAACATGCATAAATATTCTAATTTGTATCCCACTTTATTCTACAAAGTATCAGGTAGACTTTGGTCCCCAGATTAGAAATAAGGAGTTCAGATTGGAAATGTGTTCTCCCTGGGTTCTAGTCTGATGTTTTGTTTGTTTCTGTTTTGTTTCTTAAATGGGGCAGGAGAAGAGGAAAAATAAGAGAATATGAGGCAGGGGAGCCCGAGTGGCTCAGTCGGTTAAGCCTCTGCCTTGGGCTCGGGTCATGATCCCGGGGTCCTGGGATCGAGTCCCGCATCAGGCTCCCTGCTCAGTGAGGGGGGTCTGCTTCTCCCTCTCCCTCTGCTGCTCCCCCTGCTTGTGCTCTCTCTCTCACTCACTCTCTCTCAAAGAAATAAATAAAATCTTTAAAAAAAAAGGATATGAGGCAAATACAATTTTTAAGGACACTCAGTTTGTGAATTCTTCCATACCCTATTGGTTTAGAAAGGAGTCAGTAGCTGCATGGTAAAGAAATCCTGGTGTAGATTTTCAGAAGAATTCCTCAAAATTTCTAACGTGTGATGCATTCTAACTTAGGATATAAGAAGGAAAAGATGACTCTTAATTGCCCAAATTCTGACGACCTGGGATGTACTTACACGGGTGAAGCCTTAATTGCAGAGAAACAAAAATGAGGAAAAGAGGCAAAATCAAGAGAAAATGAGGGGATAGTTGTGAAAGCAAAAACTAAAGAAATATCAGGATGTGTCCTGACTCTAATTTACATACTGAATAAGCTGGAAGCAAGAAGACCCATATTAAGTATTCACACTAAGGGCTAGCATAGTAATAAATATCACTCGAGTCATTTATATTTGGAATCATGGGATTCCTTCTACAGATTAACTCTAAGCTCACTTCATGCTCAGTTTGTAGCTGTTGAAGGAAAAGCTATGTCCACCTAAAAAAAAAGAGAGAGAGAGAGAGAAAAAGCTGCCATGTTCCGATGATCAGAGCTGACCACATACAAGAATGCTTCCTAACTAAAACCCAGGCTCACCCACCAGCTCTGTGGTAGGCTGGGCTTCATCACTCTTTCTACAGGGTGTTTTTTGTCATCTCCCCTCTGGAACAGGGGATCTACATTTCTGGTTTTTTTTTTTTTTTAAGATTTTATTTATTTGACAGAGAGAGACACAGCGAGAGAGGGAACACGAGCAGGGGGAGTGGCAGAGGGAGAAGCAGGCTTCCCGCCGAGCAGGGAGCCCGATGCGGGGCTCGATCCCAGGACCCTGGGATCACGACCTGAGCCGAAGGCAGACGCTTAACGACTGAGCCCCCCAGGCGCCCCTCTACATTTCTGTTTTGAGACTGTAACGTATGCAGCTTCCCCATTCTGGGTTTGAGTGTCAGCTAAGGTGTTCTGATCCGGTTTGGGGGCCTGGAGGATGGGGGCAGGAAGGCAGAGCATGGCCCCATCGACCGCCCTGATGAGGCTGGGTCCATGACACGGAGTTTCGCCCTGGAGAAGAGAAGTGGGATGTGCGCGTGCGCGGGTCAGTCCTGAGGATGGGGAGGACCCAGGCTGGACCGATTCACTGCTTCGCACTGACTTTTGGCTGTCTCTACTGCTCTGATGAAAACAGAAAGAGCACAAAGGGCCTCATTCTCAGACCCTCTGCCATTCACAGGGACTGCAGTGAAGACCAGGCTGGACACCTCAAGTTCCATCAGTTGTTTTCAGACATGTGCCATATGAAACGTTATTTTATTCTTCGAGAACAGGGACTGGCAATGTCTAGGCTGCGGCCAAATCAAGCCTGCCACCTGTTTGTGTAAACGCAGTCTTATGGAACACAGCCTTACTCGTTCATTTACATATTATCTAAGACCTTCAGCTGAGCAGGCCTAACAGAGACCATGTGGCCCAAATAGCCTACATATTTACTATCCGGCCCTTTTCAGAAAAGGTTCGCAGACCCCAGCTCCAGGACAGTGGGAACTTAAAAAAATACCATACCCAGGCCCTACTAACCAAAAAGTTTTTAAACTTTTTTTTTTAATTTAAATTCAATTAACATATAATATATGATTTCTTTCAGGGGTACAGGTCTGTGATTCATCAGTCTTATATAATTAACCCAGGGCTCATAACAACACATACCCTCCCCAGTGTCCATCACCCAGCCAAATTTTTGACATAATTGGACGGGGACGGGGCCTGGGCCTCAGTATTTTTTCAAAGCTCCCCAGGGGATACTGCAGTGCAGCTAGGGACGAGAATCCACGGATTCACAGGCAGAGGCCTCCACCTTATAAGCAGCTCCCTGTGTACAGTTTGAAAAGACGAGGTTTAAGAACTCCACGCTGGCTTCTCCTGTCATTCAACAAACTCCCAACTACCTTATCTAGATGCTGGTTTTTGCTCTCCTATTAAGGCTTAATATTATGGTAGTCTAGGAAAATTAAAACTCAGAATAAGGGCGCCTGGGTGGCTCAGTCGGTTAAGCGTCTGCCTTCGACTCAGGTCATGAACCCGAGGTCCTGGGATCGAGCCCCGCATCGGGCTCCCTGCTCGGCGGGAAGTCTGCTTCTCCCTCTCCCTGCCGCTCCCCCTGCTGGTGCTCTCTCCCTCTCAAATAAATAAATAAAATCTTTAAAAAAATACTTAAAAAAAAAGACCTTAGAATAAAAAGCTCCTCTCAAAAAGAAAAAAAAAAGAAGGCAAAAGTGACCGGCAAAGCAGCTTCCTTCAATCAGTATAGGTTGAGAAGAGTGAACTTTGTTTTCTTCAACTTCTCTGAAACATTCATATAAGACTTTCATTTTCTAAGTACAGAAAGTGACCAGAAAAATAAAGGTACTGTCTTGAGGTCAGAGGAGAGTCAGAAGTATAATATAAGTCACCATACTACCAGGATGAATTCATTCTCTGGTAGAAAAACGTAAGAACATTTCTACACATGACTTTGTGGTAATGGTAAAGATTCTATATACATATATACACATCTATACAGAGAGAAGTGTTTAATATATAAATATTTTGAAGCGGCTGTATGGATATTTACTATCACAGACCAACCCTGACCCTGACACTAACTTTGAACAAGTTCATAATATAGAAGTTTGCTTTCTCTTTAGAATGGGGCTTAATGAATCTGTTACAGCAATACTGGTCAAAAACACATGAGAGCAATCCAATGTTACCAGGACCCAGTAAAAAACAGGGCACTTTTGAGCACATATCATATGCAGTCCCTGTCAGGGGACTATAGTCTAGTTAGTTGTAGCAAAAATAAAAGCTAATCACTAAGAGATTTAAATGACAAACATGGATCCCAGAGACCATTTCTAGGGAGTAACCTGGAACAAGCCAAAATGAAGAGGCTAAAACACAAAAAGGGGTGTGGGAAGCAGGGGGTACTCTCTCCATCACTGAGGACACATTAATGGAGCACCTACTGTGTGCTAGGCTGTGTACCAGTGCCGAGAGAAGAGACGGCCACCCTGTTCAAGGAGCCCTGGCAAGTGGGACAGAACAGCAGGTGAATGCTTCTGTGCCCTGGAGGGGCTATTACAGAAATAAGTACAAGATGCTGGGGGAGGGGGGACCCCTCACCTGGAGGTAGGAGATGAAAACGACAGACTAGGGTGGCGTTACAGAAAAGGGAGAAATGCAACAGGAGCTGTAGAGGGTTAGTAAGCGCATAGCAAGCACTCTGGGCTGGAGGTGGGAAAGAAGAGGCTTTATGATCAGGAAAAAGACAAGCGCACAAAGGTGTGGGGTTATGAGAAAGGGGAGGAGGTCCAGGTTTTGCAAGAAGTTCAGCGTAACTTGAGGAGAGTCTACCCGGAGCCTGGCAGGGAGAGAGGCAGGAAAGGTAGGCAGGAGCCGCGGAGGGCGGGCCGGGTTTCTCACGCCACTGTTAGTACAGAAGCGTGGTCCCATGAGCTGACCCTTGCAAAGGGTCTCATAGAACGCTGCTTCCTTGGGATGTCGCGGTGTTCATTTCTCAAAATATGGGTCTCATGGTCAAGGTAGTCTGAAAATGTTGGATTGGGCCCCATTAAACCTGTCTTTTGACCTCAGGAAATGTCAGAGCCCAATAATGAGCCGATGTATGTGAGACTCTCCATAAAACCCAGGACATGCTGCAAACCTATTTGACCATAGAACCCACTCTGCCCGGGGAGCAGCAAGAGGGGCTCGTGTGTTTTGGGGCTCACTCTGGGAGATGCTATGGGAGGAGGGGGACTTGAACGGGCGGAAGGAGATGGAAGATGAGAGCAAATACGACTTCCTCAAGAGAGACCGCTTGTTTGTTCTGAATGAAAATTGTTAAGCATTAGTCACACAAATTCAGAAAATGCTTACTTGACACTTGGATGCCCCTCTGGAAGCCTTCATACAAGGTTCTGACATCATCATAGAAATACACCAAGGGCTCATCGCTATCCAGTAGCGGGGATCTCCGAGCACCATCGCTACCCTGTGGAAAGAGACAGATGCATGAGCACGTCAGAGGAAAATGTTTAAAATAAAAAGCCTAACGTGCATGCCCACCAGGCCCTCCACGGGGCCCCTGTGGGGGAGCTGCTCAGTATTTGTTGAACGAAGAAGTGCAGGATTTGCTAAGAGAATTCATTCATCTGGGGTCAAGTGTAGGCTTCAGAGAATCAAGGCTAAGACCAAACAGCTGTCAGAGGGTCCCAGGGGTCTGGCTGGATAAGGGGAAGGGAGCAGGAGGACTGGAAACCTGCGACCAACACACATGTCTTAAGCATCCTCAGACCTCCACCAGCAATGGCCCAGGAGTTCAAGTTTGCATCAGCTCTCACGGAAATGACACACCGTTCGCTTCTACTTCCATCATGTTATGTACGTTCCTTTTGAGATTACTGCCACTGTTTTATCTTTGTGTCAACAGCAATATAACCTGTTAGGAACTTCTGATTCTCCAGGGAAATCAGAAGAGGCTACAAGAACTTCTGGTACTAGAAGAAAGGACCATTCACAGTGGGAGACATCGTTTCTAGCATGAGGTTTGAAGAAAGCAGAGAGGAAACCCTTCACGAAGAAGGAGCAAAGGGCTGGGTCTCATATCAGTTCGATGAGATCCTTCCAGACTTTTTTCTATGCTTTACATTTATTTAAACCCTCTCATTATCTACGATGTACTAAATATGTGTTTGACACTTGATCTAAAGCTACTAATCGTTTTCTGGAATAAATATCACCCGATGATATATGTTACTCATCATCACAGCCTTCTCTATCTTAGCAGACACTTTCTAATACCTGCAGCCATGATCCCAAACGTGATTATTAATTATAACACACTACTTAATAAAGCAGAGAAGTTATTCTTTGTGTGCACAATGGTGGGAAAATCTCCGCTCTGCAGAATCGTGCATTATTATTACCTGATCTCTGAGTCTGTTTGCTTGTCTGCAAAATGGGGATCCCATGTGCCCACGTCCAGGGTTATCTTTAGCTAAACAAAATTGGTCCTATAAAATATGTAGAATACTACTCAGACACCCTGTTACGTGGCCTAACTACAATGCGAGTCCTGCTTAGCCTGGATCTTTTCTCCGACAAATACTCAGATTAAAATTCAGAAGCCATCTTGTGGCTTTACCGTAAGCACTGGAAGCCTTTTCAACCCAGGAAGCCACCCACCCAAAAGAGCCAGGGCATCACGGCTAAGGTAGGAGAAAAAGGAGCAAGGGATGGAGTGACAGAAAACGGGAAAGAGAAAAAAGCTAAGAAAAGAGTACACCTGGTGGAGAGGAGTGGACTCTGCAGTAAGTAACAGCCTCCTGCCCATTGGTCCAGCCCACCCCACTCCACCTAGCAAGCGTGGCCAGGAGGCACAGGCAGCCTGGTAGCCCAGACAGGTCCTCATGACCTCAGCTTAGGAATGGGCTCTCCTCCACCTCTCGTCCTGACACTTGGTATCACTTGCACGGTGTTGCACGGTGTTGCACGGTATCGCTCAGGGGTTTCTCTGCAAAAGCAATCCTGTCCTCCTCAAGTATTCTGCTGAGAACTCCTACAGCTGCCAGTGGGGCAGAGGGGAATCAGGTGAGTAAAGACACAGAGCTTTTTCCGAAGGAACCCGAGTGACTCTTATCCTTACAGCCCCAGAGGGGCTCCACGGAGCACTGGTTGAGCAAAGAGTGCTCAGAAAGTCAGAATGAATAGACAGGAGTAGCCTGGAATCTTCGGTGCAGGCTCGTCCTCGAGCCAAGGTCCCCGAAGGAGGGTCTGGGGAACACCTGGCCCTTCTAAGGAAAGCAAATTAGCTCGCCCTTCACCAGATCTCCTGAATCAGAAACTCTGGGGGTGTTATCCAGCAGTGCAGCAAGCCCTCCAGGGGATTCTGGAGCATGCTGAAGCGAGAACCACTCAATGGAGACATTAAGGTCCCAGCAGGGAAGTAGTGAAAATCGGAATAATGCTTCAGAAAGAAATCTACAAGAAGAGAGCAAGCAGCATGGAGAATGGCATGGAGAGGAAAGGACTAGAGAAAAATGTACTCATGTGGGCCTGGGTGAAGGCAGTGGCAAGTGCAGGAATGGGGAGAAGGGTGACACCAGAAGTGGGAAGGGTTAATGAACGGGATCTGGCCAGTCACTGGGTCTAGAGAAGGAGGTCTAAAAAGAGCAGTTCCATTTAATCAAAAATAGAAGACTGGGCATGGGCGCCAGGTTTGAGAAGAGCGTCAGTTTAGCTTTGGATATATGGAGACCATATCCCTTTCAAGATAGTAGGTCAACCTTCCAGCTCCTATTTTGAGAATCGCTGCTCTAGAGTATAATTTTATAACAAACTTTTGGTTCAATAATTCTTTGGCTAAGGTTAGTTTTTTGGTGGTATACAATCCTCAAAACTTTGAGAAACAGGGAGGTAAAACAGCCAAATCCAAGTGAAAGAAGTTCATTATATCCCAACAGCCATCATCTTGACAAAGTAACCTGAAGACAAGATATTTATTATTATTCTAATTAGCAATTAGAATACTTAGCAAAGGTTTGGTTTTGGAAGGAAGGAAAGGAAGATGAAGCAATAAATGAACTCTATGCCAAAAAGGCACACCGTTTAAGGCACAGGTGAAACCAGATAAAAAGTCACACTCTCACTTACTTGTAATATACACTGTAATTTCAAGAGAGGGGTCTGAATGAAAGGGGAAGGGCGGGCACTAAGCAAGATTTGTGCTTTGAAATTTGTTGCTCTATGAAATGATCACACGTTCCCCTGAAGAAGCATCATTTTTGATGTGCATATGTGCTATTCTTCCTGAACAAAATGCTATTTGTATACGCTGGGTGTTAGCAACCTTAATTATACCTACAAAGGGGAGGGACTGCACTCTGAGTGCCGGGAATCACAGCTAAAACAACTGAGCTCAAATGTCTATATGTGCTACAAATCGAGCCATTTCAAAAGGAGGGCATTCCATTACCGGGTCATGCAAGTGCACGTCGCTATTTCTAGGAACACCTACTTGAATGAAAAAAAAAATACTTCTGGACTTCTGATAAAACCTACAGATGGAGGGTAGAGGCCGGGGTTTCAATTATGCTCAAGAAACAGGGAGAGTGGGGTTCCTGAGTGGCTCAGTTGGGCATCTGCCTTCTGCTGGGGTAGTGATCCCAGGGTCCTGGGATGGAGTCCCATGGGGGGGGGTTCCCCTGCTCAGCGAGGGGCCTGCTTCTCCCTCTCCCTCTGCCTCTCTCCCCGGCTTGTGCTCTCTCTCTCTTTCTCTGTCAAATAAATAATAAACAAACAAATAAATAAATGAAAGAAAGAAAGAAAGAAACAGGGAGAGCTAAGCAGACAACCCCAGTTAAACATGGAGGAAATCAGTAAGATTGAGTGTCAAGGAGGATTATGCTATACACTTCTTTAATGTGGTTTTAGAGTTTTTCCCATTTAAAAAAATAGAGAAGATTGTGAGTCAAACACACTACGATCCCATCAGTGGTCCTGAGTCCATTCGGCAACATCTATATAAGCTAAGGTTCCTCTTGAGGTCAGTCTCCCCACGTGAGCTGAATGAGGACATGAAAGTTTAAGTTCCACATGGGGCCAGTAAGGGCAGGACCACAGTGAACATCTGCATATCCGTGGTTCCCAAGACCAGAACCTTTGCCAATACGACGGGCCCTTGCTCCCGCTTTCTGAAAGTTCACTTTATGACACTTGACTTTTATGAAAGACCCACATCAGTAGTACTTGTTTTCACTAACCGGACGAAATCTGAAGAGGAGTTTTGCGTTCATGCAAAAAGGAGTTTTGCGTTTACGTAGGTCTTTTGTAAAATGGAAGTGGCATAACTTGAACTTTTGGAAAGTGGGGGACACTCTTGCTTTATGCCATTTAGGCTTACAAAAGCCTTCATAGGGGCGCTCTACTTTTGGACAGCAGGGGAAACCTGTATTTGACAAAAAGGATTCTTGATGGTGAGGGTCATTTTGTGCACTCTCATATTTAAATGCCAAAAGGGAATTACATCCTTGAGGATTTCTGGGGGATAGAAAAATCCAGGCTTTATAAACTGGTCTCGTTCATCTCAATCTAGAAAATGGATATCTGCAGGCCATGACGTTCAAGTTCCTCTTGTGTTACTACTGTTTACTGCTGCTGGGGGGGAGGGGCAGGAAGAGGAAGGGAGACAAGGCAGGCAAGGAGAACTGTGTGACTTGTAAGGAAGCTGTTGAAGACGTGGCTGGATTTTAATGTTAAATCCATCTCCAGGAGGAAAAGCAGCAGGTAGAATCACAGTCCTGGGGGCATGGGCATGAGATTTTTTTTGTTGGCTTTTTGTTGGCTTTTTTTTTTTTTTTTTTGCTGTTGCCAGTATCTTCCATGTGAAATATTCTTCCCAGCACTCATATTTTTACATGCATCTTACCCTGCATTGAACACTACTGTCTGCTTCTCAGGCACAAAAACCACTCTTCCATCCAGTGACCTCTTAGAGAGACTCCCTGGCTGTCGATTCTCATTTCCAGCAACCTCAGATCTCTGCTATATGAACCAGGGCCTTTAAAGGCCAGCCAGTCGGTGACTTTTCCAACCATACTTCCCGAACACGAACAGACAAAACACACTTAGACTCCCCATGATATGCTGAGCTGTCTATGTCCCAGGATACCGGGGAACCCTCAGGTTCACAGCTCATGCTCACTGCTGAACTAGCTGACTTGCCGAGATCCTTTACGCCGAGGGAGGAAAGAAAGGGCAGAACCATCACATCACAATCAGTGCTGGGTTCTGTCATCTGAATGCAGGAAAGCTGGAAGCTAAGTGAGTATTTCCTGAGCGCCTCTTACACACCAGGGGCTCTTCAGGTGAGAAAACAGCCCCAGGGCAAGGCTTTGGCAGGACATCTAAAATGTCCTGGACCCAGCTCCGTGACATCCGGTACGGTAAGAGGTTTTTGTGAAACCTGAGCAGGTTCAAACTCACCCACATACT